GTGAGGGTGAGTAGTAAACACGTTGAAAATTTGATGGGTGGTGTTTGAAAAAAAATGCCAATACCACAGTGTGAGGGGTGTAAGATATTATGCAGTGTAGTGTGATGTAGAATATGGTAGTGTATTGCTTTAGCTAAGAGGGATGGGACAGGGATGAAGAAACATGCATCGGTCAACTCGAAACACTAGCGCGAAGACACCATATTTAAGGGTGCGTGTCAAATTAGCACGATTCCCAATGCTCTACCACATCACCAACACATGTGGGACAAATATTGTCAATCAAATGTTGTACCTATGGTTGCTAAGGTAGTCACCTAAAAACCCTAAAACCACACAAGCTATGTTGCGGGTATGTACTCTTGATCGTGAAGTTTACGGGAACAATACTAATAATAATAAAGAGTTATATGCACGAAGTTCATCCCAAAAGCGAAGCAAGAAACTGATCAAGAAATATATGAAGACTCCTGCAAGCTTGTTAGGAAATACAACATATTTTTTAATGCAGCTGACAACGAAATAGGCTATATGTTCTTAGGAAACACTTTAGAACCATAAATTTCGACATTAAAACCGCAAGACAAAAATACACCTGTACAAGGCAGACGCCCTGCTAAGCGTAGAGAGGCACCCAGTTTTTCCGCCCAGATTCAATACAGTGCTAGTAGTACCCTTTGAAGAACGAAGCATGGTGCCAGACTCACACCTGCGATTGACAGTGACATCGTCACCCCTACTTTTCGTGCTGAAAGAATGTATGTAAAACAACGGAAGATTATGAAATAGCAAGTCAAACGAAAAACACAGCAGGTCAGAGGTATATTTAAATTTACAGGTATTTGAACTGTTCGTTTTTTCAAGAAACTTGAGATGCTTGTAATAATATAGATAGTAGCTAGCGAGCCACGAAAGCGAGTTTTACATGCTTACCTTTTGTAGGAGGCATACAGGTGTAACAAAGTTTAGTATATTCCGTGCAATGTTCGAATACCTGATAAACAATGGTCGACTTGCCAACATTACACTGTGGAACAATAATGTGTCGAAGCGTGTTGCGAATGTTACAACGTTATCCAGTATTGATAAGTTGTCACGGTGAGAGAAGGGATCTGGAGTCCGAAACGACTACTGAAGTTGACAGTGTGAGAGCAATTTGTACTTTTATGCTCACATTCACAGACTACCGTGGTAACCAAATTTCTATAGTAGCTGTACACTTTGCGGTGCATGAGATGATAGCTGCACGTTACTATTATAATACATATTTTATCGAAATATCATACTTATTGTAGGTTCGCCATTCACGACTCCGCAGCAAGCCGCAAAGTGCACGCCACATAGGACTAAATTTATACTGGGGATTGTATAGACAGGAATATGGTAGCTACAATGTACGTTTTTAGTGACTTATATGGTGCATGTTTTAGTGATACCAAAAATTCCGCTACGATGAACAATGTTGCTGTTTGTGAAAATAATTATTCTGTACAGAAAACGGTATACACATTAATAAGAGCTTTGAGTAAAAGATACAAACAATGGCTTTGAGTAAAAGATACAAACAATGGCTTTGAGTAAAAGATACAAACAATGACTTTGAGTAAAAATTATGTAAACCGCGTAGAAAGCAGAACTGTCTGTTGGATTTTACACAGCAGCGTACGATGGAGAATAGATCACTGGCACAAAAACAAATGTACGTTTGACAATTTATGAAAGAGATGCATAAATACAGTTGCGCCATCAATTTGCTTCATTACAGAATTCCGTTACTCTTAGGGCCCACAGACTTGGCGAACAACGGTATACAAGTGACGTGTGGGTTGGTATGGTGAATGTTAACACAAAGCGTCTATTTCTAACTGGTGCATAAGAAGTTACAAAGTCTAATCATCAGGTGGATGAAGGCTTTCAATTAACATTGCCTAGAATTGTTGGTGAGCAAATGGACAAAGTGGTGCACACGACAAACCTGCTTAAGATACATTAAACTTATCATGTCTATAATATAAAGATGACATTGCGACTACCGCACTGACGGCTGTCTCTGCCCTGTCTACCCCGGTAGCCACAAATTCACCACCAGCCACTTTACCTGCATCCAACAATTGATTCGACGAATCTTGGTGGGCCTGAAACTGCCACCCATTGGCTCTGACCTCACACTGACACATCAACAGATGTTCTCCATACCCTGGCTATTCACGCTGTTGGAGTACCACTTCCAAATCTCGGTCCAAACAAAACCAAGTCATCGCGCTTGTTGGTTCCGCCTATGTTACTTTCGATCCAGGCCAACCAGCACATACCGAGTGCACCCTTGCTGGTCTGGAGTGGCATTGGTTCACCCCCAACCTCGCTCCTCGACCGAATTATGAAGGATAACCTGGTCCTATTCGGTATTTCGTACTCTGCACTAACCCATTATCAGAAGTGGGTCCGCTACTTTAGGTCAGCAAGCGAATAAGTGGCATACTCGACGGTGACAGGTTTTTGTCAGCACCGGCCCGAATTGACCCAGCGCATATCCTCCATCGTCGACTCACTTGGCCCAATCTTCAAACGGTAATTTACTAACAATTTCTCCCCATCGATCTTTCCCGAAGCACTACAACGGCTCATATGTACATACATTGTAACATACATACATTTTAACATTCATACATTGTAACATGCATACATTGTAACTTTTTTTTAAATAGATATTATTATCCCAATGCAACGAAATACCCTTGTGCACCAATGTAAGATGATATCCAAGGGTCTAAATTTGTATCAAGATCCAGCATAACGTTCGCGTTGATCCCTCTATTAACGAATCTGCTTGATTCGATCTTATCTGCATGGTATACTCGCAGCAGTTTGGAGTTCGGAAGGACGACTTGTTCTAATAACTTCTCTTATCTCTAGGCGGAATTCTTGTCTATAAATATCAACTAATATGTATATATATATTTGAAATATGGCTTCGCGTTCTGAAGTATATTTTAATACATCATATGATCAGAAGGCTAAATATGAGTATTTGCATAGCCTTCTAATGTTTAAATTTCTTTATTTAGAAGCATAGCCTTCTAAATTATACATAGAAGGCTATGTTAGAAGCCTATTTATGATATTTGAACATACTGTATGTCTTTTTTTGTTTATTTATGTTTGTTTTATAAGGAAAAAATGAGCTCAAAATAGCACGTGCTACTGTAATGTAAATATTGATGACGTACAATACCTCGTTGTTCATAGCCCTCTCTAAAAAGACAAGAGGGCCATGTTCAAATAAATAGTGCAGAGGGGTGACCCCGGAGCTGGTATTGTAAGTAAATTAACTCATGCCTAGTAAGATATATACACTCCTATTTTATCTTTTTCCTGCTATTTTTAGAGAGCAGTACTTCGTGGTGCAAGCCGGCAAATACACTGACATCTCAGGATGCAGTTAGGACAGTTGGTCGGGAGAGGCTTGACCGTCGCTGTGTTGCTATGTGCACGCAGCGCATATGCATGTACAGCTGTGTGCGTAGCAAAAAGTGCGTCTGTAGATGGAGTGGCACTGACATCACACTCCAGTAAGTATATTTTATTAGAAACATGTAATCGGGATACGGCGCTTTTTAGTAAATTCAGCAATGTCGTATCAGGGGAGTATAAATACGTTCGTCCACACTAGCAATATAGTTGATACTGCCATAAAAATTATATTACCAAATTGTTTTGCGTTATCAAGTTGTTGTATAAAGGTGAAAGGGAGCATCAATCGAAGAAAGCGGCGGTGTCCACTTATCTGCGTATTACGACAGTAGGAACTATATGTGGCTTGGAATATATTTTGCCAGATTATATAAAACATTATCACAACCGAAACAGATTACCTTGTATATTATCTATATTTGTATATCTGTACATATCTTCTACACCCAGTGAACTTTATACTATATATATATTTATAGATATATATATATATATATATATATGTGTGTGTGTGTGTGTGTGTATCTTATCTATCTATCTATCTATATATGTATCTATCATGTATCTATCTATATATGTATCTATCTATCTATACATACATACATACATATATATATATATATATATATATATATATATATATATATATATATATATATATATATATATATATATATTATATATATATATATATATATATATATATATATATATATATGTGTGTGTGTGTGTGTATCTATATATATAGAGAGAGCTGCTTTGTATATGGTTCAGTGGAGGTGTGGCTACTTGTTCATATGTATTCTGATGCAAATCTCAACTTGATTCTAAGTCGTACTATGTATATGTCAGTTGTTGCCAAAAGTTTATACAGTATCACCTCAAAACACCATGCAGATGATTGCCCCGAATGCGATAATCGCTTAGCCTTGGTGCCTGGACGTACACATAAAACAGGCGACAAGCATCTGGTATACGGATTGGGTGCAGTGTACCCACGTGCTCACAATAACAGATCCGTTGTGTATCAGAATAGTCCCGACACACCAGTGCTAGCTTACATCGATGAAGTGGAGACTACATACGGTATATGGGAAAATACGTACCCGCTTATCAACGAGGTGGGATTGACCATGGCGGAGAGCACGTGTGACAGCAAGGTATCAGCTGCTGGTATTGATCAGCCTGATCCCGCAACAGGTACTTACATTACGATGGTTTTCTCCCCGCAGCTCAAGATAGTACTGGATAAGCGTTGTTTTGTTACACATTTGCAGTAGTGGAGTTTGCCGCGTTTTCCGCATACCGATATACGCTCGTGAAGCCTTCAGTTTTAAAGTAGATATACAGTATGTACGTCTCTGTGTCAGAGTACGCTATGTTTATCATCATGACACCAGGTGCTGCTCAGTTGTTGATGTAGATCGATTGTTGATATTCACATTGAAGTACTGTCTTCGATACATACTTTTGATACGTAACCTTCTAAAATAAACGGCATGAACCAAAGCTGCCAATCGTGAACGCGATTCGACTTGAGATGAACCATTTTTCGCTGTTACCAACTTATACCTGTCTGTGATTACAACGACTGATCGTAGGAAAATTTGGCGAAGCCAAGCTTTCGATTACCATGTTGATGCAGCTTGGTCTGGAGCGCTGCGATACAGTAGCCTGTGCGATCAAAACAATGGGCTCCTTAGGTATGTCAATACTATAGCTTTGCGGCTCCATTTCAGCTGATTTATCTCATATCCGAGCAGCCGTACGCATATCTATTGTATGTGAATTCATGTGGACAAAATAGTTTTACGACGATTTCCTGCCCCCCGTTGTTTCTATGGATTGGGTATCAGTATAGTAATTCCCGCTTGCTTTCATAGCACTGGATACCACCTCCATGGGCATGCTTGCAATTGAACCGAGAATCAAGCAAAGTAGCGCGCTCGAAACTGAAGGTGAAAATCTCGTGCGATATATGTTGTAGACGAAGCACTAATGAGTGTGTGGTATGTTACTTTGGCAGCCGAGGAACATGGATTCTACGGCGAGGGGTTCATGACCGGTGAAGCGCTAGCTCTTGCCGATACCACCGGGGAAGCATGGATGTTTCATATCGTGCAGGATTACACCACAAAAATCAGTGCTGTATGGATAGCACAGCGCGTGCCCGACAATCACGTTGCAGTTGTAGCGAATGCCTTCACTATCCAGGAGGTACCGTACGTTGCACCTGAGGCACTGGATACCCGTGCAGACGGCTTTCTTCACAGTGCGAATATGTACCAGGAGGCCAGGTCTGCCGGTCTCTGGAAGGGTATGGAGGGCAGGGATAAGTTCTCGTTCCAGCGTGTGTTCGGGAGTGAAAGTAAGCCCATGTACGCCACTGTGCGCATGCAGTGGATCTACACCAACGTCGCGCCTTCCCTTGGGCTCAAAGTTGAACACCACGTGTATAAGATGCCGTTCTCCGTGCCAGTAGACAGCCCCATCACCGTGCGCGAGCTGATGACGATCTACCAGTCACACTACGAACAAACCGACCATGACATGACTCGTGGCGTCCTAGCTGGCCCGTTCTCTAACCCCCACCGCGTCAGCGGCGTGGATGGTGATGTGAAGCAGAAGAACGCCATTCAGGGCCAGACCACTCGTGGTATTGGGGTGCCCTACACGGCGTACACTCATATCGGATACGCGCACCCTACAAGAGGAGCATCGTTTTTTGCACTGGACGAACCGGCAAACTCCGTGTTTGTGCCACTACTGACGGCTACGTTGGTAGAGGCGAGGGAGGCCGGAAGCTTGAGCGAAACAGGTAAGCTGTATGCGTATGCGTACCAGATAGGCACGAGGTTTGAACTGGATCTGGACAGTGCTTGGTGGGCGTTTGACATCGTGTCGAATTGGATGAATCAGAACTACGGGCGCATGCGCAGGGAGTTGGTGAAACCCGCAACCCAGAGGTGGCAGGATCTCATGATGGAAGCGCACGACGCCGGCACGACCGAGGCCGCAACATCTGCGCAGGAGTCCGTAGTGAACTACTGGAAGGAACTATTCCAGACCCTGGTAGTGAGATACAACGACGGCATTCTGAACTATGCTCCTGGGTACGACCCCCGTATGCCTGTGGCGGATATTGGCTATCCGGCCGAGTTTCTGGAGGAGATTGGATACGACAATACCTTCTGGCTCACCAAGTCCTTCTCGGCGCGATGCAACGACATGGAGAAGAAGCATGCTTCGCCCTGGGTGGCTACGGCCAGTACAGTGTTGCTTGCACTTGTGGCCGGGTTTGTGGTGGGTTGGGTGGTCAACGGGCGCAGGCGTTCCCCTTCCACAGCGGAGGAACGGCGCGCTCTTTTCTGAGTTATAATTTGCTGTGCAGGGCGTATGAAGTCCTGGGATGCTGAATATGAACATGGAGCACCTCTGGACGTAGCACACTACGTCTCAGTGTGAGCACATCGCACTCTTAGTTTGATACATTGCGATGCATTGGTTCAAGTGACCGAAACGTATTAGCTATATTTTAGTTTAAGGTTATTGCCCAAATTAAGTATCGTAGGCGGGCGAGCGGTGTTAAATGGCACTGCGCCAGTTGATGCAATATGTACGTTGGAGATTGTCAAGGTGCGTTGTATTTAAATTGACGTTCTCCATCTGAATGTGAGTCAGGGAGGCGATTCTCGGTACTATTTTACTGGGAGTAGGTAGCGAAAAAGGGGTTGGCTTATTTACACTCGATACCCTGAATTTATGATGGCATCTAGGGCAGCATCAAAGAGGATAGTAATTTCAACCTGAATGCCCCAGGGGTAGTTATTATTGAGATCGTTCGTGGAATTAACAAGGATAGTGTTCGGAAGAAGTTGGCTGGAAATTAGACACAGCCATTTATGCCATGAATTACAAATGCCGATATGTAAAATACTTTAAATACACGCACACACTATATATAATTATATTATTATATTATATATATACTTGTATACATACACACACAAACACATATATATATATATACATATACACACACACATATATATATATATACATATACACACACATATATATATATATATATATATATATACACATATATATATATATATACATATACACACACACGTATATATATATATATATATATAACAAATCTGTGTGCACAACACTTCCTTGTATTGATCGTGTCATCTGTTTTGCATGGCTGTTGTACGTCTCCGTAACAATTGACTATACTACTCGGCATCATATTATTCTTACATCTTCTATAAGAACCTACCGACAATACTGGGCACCGAATCACTTCTTCTTGATAGCAGCATTCTTTGATGTATATCGCGTACACTTCGCCTACCCACTTCCTGTTGTAAACACATACCAGTATTAATACTATCTTACCGTACGTATTCTCCCACATCACATAAGCCTCATTTATTACATATTGCGTATATTCACCAGTCTTATATGCCTTATTTACCAGACACTCATGTCGGCGGGATTAAGTGTGTGTAGCACTTGGTCTGTGATTGATGTTCCCCATCGCGGTAGGACTGTACAGGTTCGAAACCGCAAGGCGAGTGGTTATTCGTTATGTGACTGGCTTCACTCTCAGCCGGTGTGCACCGCACAAACGTCTCTGTGATATCATCCGTCTCATGGTCAATAGTCTGTCACGATACATATCCCACTTCATATACATGTACAATATACTTATCTTTGGTTCGTGTACATTTGATCCTCAACCTAATTTTACACATTCCACCATAGAGATGTGACTGGCTCGCGCTCTGCCGGTGTGTACCGCACAAACGTCTCTGTGATACCATCTGTCTCATTCTCAATTGTTAACGTACCGGCATCTCCCTCACTAACCTTACTCACATTACCCAACAATGCACTCGCCCGTTGCTCAGCGTGAACCCATTCTTGCGAAAACATCATAGTGCTCATACATGGACCCGAAGACCACTTCCCATTGCCCGTAAACCGGTTGACATACGTATTCAAACTGTTGGCGCACTTGCAGGATACAGAGTACGTTTTGTCGGCGCCAGGTACGGTTTCCTCGACAACGCGCTCTTTTATATTCAATGTCGGATGTTTGCCATTGCCAAAGTCGCTCTCGGACCTCCACATACCCTCAGGCCACTCAGGCACTCGAGCGATCTTCTCATGCGCTGATTCCGGGACAGTCCCGCTTTCTGACTGCGTGATCGTCACTTCGTCGCCTGGCTTACTCAGCGATACAGTCGCATACATTACACCGGGAAATGACTTGGGTATAACAAACGCGTCGCCCAGACACTCGTCATTCAAGTAGTACCTAACTTTCAGCTCGCTCGGTGTGGCAACAGCGTGCATGCCAATCTTGTCACCTTGTCGAGGCCTGGGACCCCACTGTGAACGCAGCAATCCCCCGCCATCAGCCAGGTTACCCCCAAAGTACATGCCTTTCATACCGTATCCAGGCTTGAAGTGTGCCATAGATGTTAACCCAAACCACACTGTGCTGTGCGCGTGCAGGGTGTCCACCATGACTTCCCAGTATTTAGACCCAAGAGCTTCACTCCCTACAGAGCCCCCGTATCCATCACCTTCCCATAATGCGTTGCACTTGGAATCACCTGATTTGTCGCAAGTGCGTTTGATGGTGTGGCCGTTGACGCTGAAGTGGCCTTCCTCGTCCTGCTTCCAAGTCATAGTATATGTATGTATGTATGTATGTATATATGTATGTAGGTATGTATGTGTGTGTTTGTGTCGATGTATGTATTCGACGTAATTCGTATGTGTTTGGTATTACTTTCTGCCAGACTGTCGTTTATATACTAGTTCTAATGCGTATTTATAGCTATGTGGTCATCTACAGATCCCAGGCGCAGTGAGCATACGTTCTTAGTTGTTGTATTATTCTCTCTGGAGCGCGTAAGCCGTGAAGTCGTAAACAGTGTATGGTTTTGTCCTAAAACCTTTCACCACTGTGCCTTGGTGGCTGGGTATGCATTTGTTGGCATAATAAATAAATATTTACGCACAATTATTTTATGTATATTTATTTTTGTATGGTTTTTGAGTGCTCTAGGTGATTCTACCTAATGGTTTTAGGGTGCTCTAGGGTTTTAGGTGATTCTACCTAATGGTTTTAGGGTGCTCTAGGGTTTTAGAGGATTTGGGGAATTCTCTTTTAACAAAATCAAAGAGTCATCATGATCAGATTGCAAGTTGAAATTGAAATGTCCAAGCAATATGTCGAACGCAACTCAACCAATAAATAAATGCGAACACTTTGACAGAAGGATCGAGCCATCAAGGAAGGGTGTATATATTTATTTTATATGGTGCTTGTGCAAATACCATGTACTTATACTTTGTATAGTGTATACTACTTGTATATAATACATATACACTTTTGTAGGTTATTTTATCTACACTTGCGAGAATGACACCCACCGAGAAATCTGTGGCTTATCTGGGCATCCCCGGGACGTACACATACATCTCTTGCACCGAGAAGCTGCCTGAGTATGTAGTAATTCACGTTGCATCTGTACGCGATGATTTTTGAATCATTTTACAGTAGGAGAGTAGTGCATCCATAGCCATACAATATAGTTTCCAAGTCATGGGTGGTCATTTGAATTCACAAAACAGACAACACGGAGTTACTGAAGTGAAAGTCGGTGTATGGTTGTCCCTAGCAAGATCTCTCTTAGGGTTGCGGTGCTGTGCTGGTGTGACTGCTAGGCCGCGGTAGTCGTATTCCAGTATCAATACGGCTGCACTCTGGTGTGTATTACTGTATATTTCTTTGCTTGTTTCTGTTTTGTACTGAAGCAGCTTGCTTCACTCTATTTGTGTTCTTTTCTGTGCTGCAGTTACAAGTTAGTGCCTCGCCCGGGATTTCGCGAATGCTTGGAGGCTGTTGAAAAGGGCGAAGTGGATGCAACCCTCATGGCCATTGAGAACTCCACAGCAGGTACTGAATGTACAGCTGTAGCACAGTATGGGCGAGTCCTGTGTTCAATTCTATTGTAAGCTCAGTGCTAAACGCCACTCTTTGCCTGTGCTCGTTAAGTATCGAACAATCTAAATATACTCAAATCTATAGATCACCTGGAGAATGCCCTTGTCAATAGAGTTCATAATCTCCCAGCAAGGGTTGTGTACTGTCACACAATCACACACATGCAGCTATATTCATTAGAGTGCTATACAACGTCACCGCTGTGGCTTCTGTAGAACGAGTTCCAAGACATGACAACCACTCATATCAGCACATGGGCTGTACCGGTTTGTACCGTTTTTCAGGTAGGGTGGAAGCCGTACATCACCTACTGAGAGACACCTCGCTTGTAATCACAGGCGAACACTTCCACAGTGTCAAGCACTGCCTACTGGCCCCAGAGGTGTGCACACCCTTCGTTCATATTGTGCGCTTGCCGTACACTGCGTGTGCGTGCATACTCCGATTTAATAAATGCGCGTTAGTTTGATGTGTGCCTGGTCTACTCTCTACGTGTGTGTGTGGGTGTGTGTACTGTTCTAAATTCGTTGTATCACGTTGGCAATCTTTTACTAAAGACGCACATGTGGCGTATTTTTGTGTGTTTTGATATGCAGTCTGCGTGGCCAAAGTATTGCTGTTGCTCTTTGCACTGAGTAGGACTTAGGTGCTTTATATCTGCATGATAGCTGACTCGCATAACATGTGTATACTTGTTTACACCGTAGAAAAAATCAGTGAGTATATGAGATCGAAGCCTCGCTTTGTGGTATAGAAGTCTTATGCTCTATCCGTTCCAAGTAGTTGACTGGCATGTGTATGTGAACGCCGAGAAGTTTATGGAGGTCATGCAGAGAACGTTTATATGTTTCGCAATATATAACATCTGTGTTATCAGTCACTGTGACGTCGAATGCCCCGCTAATGCATCTCTCGCTGTGCACATCCGTATGTACGTGACAAACGTTTGAATCCATGAATATGCGTATGAGACAGAAATTGCTCTGTTGTGCTAAAGTATTGGGCTCAACCATCGTACTCTACTTCATGGTACTGATTGCTTTCATTTCCGTTTTACGGATTTGTATAGGGAACGTCCTTGGACAATGTTACGGAAATTCTGAGCCACGAGCAGGCTCTGAAACAATGCAAACTGTTTATCGCGCGACAGGGAGCAACCCCTATCCCTTGCTCGGGCACTGCAGGTACTCGAAAAGCTTTATACGTCACATATATTTGCGAGATATATAGGCAAGACTGGGCTTATAAGCACGCAGATAGCAACCTGTACTTTTATTACCGCCTCTGTACACCCAGCGTGTGCTCTCGATATCTTACAGCCCTATATAGTCCATTGACTAACGGGATCCTCTGAGATAATGACAATCATATGATATCGTTACCAACACACCTGTCGCACCTCTATCAAGGTATGCACCATCTGCATACAGATTTCTCTCTTATTCACTAGTATCCGCCATCTAAATAATTCATACCGATGTCTCGCATACTTACCATCTAAATAATTCACACCGATTTTCCCCGTCACTCTCCTAGTGGCCGCCAAGCTCGTTGCACAGTCTGAGGGTGGGAATAAGGCAGTCATCGCAGCTGAGCTGTGCGTTGAATTGTACCAATTGTCTGTCTTGAAGAGTAAGTAGTCTTCTCGTTGCCTAGCAACGCGCTATCTGTGCTAAGCAGTGAGCCTTAGACCTCAGCTGTGGCGTATGCCTATCAGATCGGTGTTAATGATTTATGAGCGTTATGGCATTCTATCGTCTATCTGTGTGGTGGTGTATAGCCGAGTGGTTGACAGTTTGCATTTTTCTTTCCTTCCTACACTTCAAATAGGAGATATTCAGGACATGAAGGTGAATACGACACGTTTCATCGTTATCCAGAAGCCGCCACAGACACCGCCGCCACAGATTGCGGGCAAGGCCTATGGCACTAGCATGCTAATAGGTAGCAATGACAACGTAGATGGCTTGGATGTAGTTAAGGTGCGTGTCTGAGGAACTGCACTGTCTTTGTATCCTGCAATCATTGTCCGTTGCAGTTGTGTAAGTCGTACATTTAGTAGAGTAATGATGTGGTTGGTTGTAAGTGTGTTTGTTTTTGTGGATGTTGTCTTGGCGATATGTCTGCCAAAGGGGAGATGAATTGTATTCCTAAGGTTGCTTGTTGTGACTAGGTGGTGCTATTGATGTGACGTACATTGTAGATACTTCGTTTTTGTGGCAAGCGTACGTCGATTGTAAACTTCCTCGGAGAAAATCTTCTTCCAGTTGGTGTGCGGTAGACACAGCGGTGTATCTCCCTTCAGCTTTTGAGCTTTTATTGCATTAGATATAAACACCATCTGACCCGTACAGTGTGGTGCAATTGCGTTCTAGGTCTTTGACTGTATCTCCGCCCAAGGATTGACCGTCTCGAAAATGGAAACATACGCCGGAAATATACAGATCAAACAGGTATGCATTTGTCTCTCTTACCACCATTCAGTAGCGCATATATAGTTTTCCTGGATTCGATTTCCTTGCACACATCACGGGTGAAGTTTTTTTAATCCCAGCACTGTTTGAATTGTTATCAATAATCACGCACCGAAGTTGTGCAGTAGTCTGCAGTTCACATGCTCATGTTGTATCGCTTTCTCGTGCTATGGTCTATGCAGATATACATAGAGCTCCGATGTCACAGCGAAAGCGATGCCTGCAGGAAAGCGTGTGCGAATATTGAGCTTATAACCACGGTTAGACCTATGGGATGTTATGAGTTGGCTGACAGGCCCTCCGACATCTCAGCGTAAATAGGAGGCAGTGTAAATTTAGTAGAGTGACTTCTATACGACAACTGGTGCGAATGTAGCCCTATGAATGTGACGGGTGTATGCTGTAGTTTTGCATTGTTGTCTAGCCTAGTCTAACAGTACAGCGTGGATGGGACCTGGAAAGCGGAGAATGCTACTAATGCATAAAGCTGTCTCTGGGATAACAATTTTGATACAAGAATTGATGCTGAGATAAACTGCCTGTTTCGCAGTTCAATTTTGGATCTACAGTATTGGAACAACCCATGTACAACCAAACCACACAGTTAATCATGTCGCGAACTCGCAATGCCCAGAGTATAAGCTTACACCCGATTAGGAGACCACGAAGGATGTGCAGAAGGACAAGCTCGGCACCGAATATGGTTTTCACCTGCTTGAGAGAAATACATAGCCTTTTCAATGAGAGTTTATACTTAGTAACCACAAATCAGAGCATATCACATCTGCCATGTGGCGCAAAAGCCTCACATACTAAAGCAGGGCAAAGAGATTGATCATGTATCTGAATTTTATTTAGCAGCCGGTAGCTATAGAAACAGACCCATTGACCTTTATTCAAGGTGGGTTGAAATATAGTGCTTGAGTGAATATGGTGATAAGACAGTAGTGTATTCCATCCCGCGGCCGCTGCTGCGCTATAGGACTCTTTTTCGCACGGTGCTGATATCTGTGACGCACCAATGTACGCCTACTGCATCAATCCGTAGAGTTAAATACTCCGTTGATCACGGCCGGGGCTTCAGCTCTTACACCATGCACGACGCAACTTTGTGCTCGATGTCTGCCGCGCCATTCTCACTGCAAGTCGTGCATTGAATAGTGCCTGTGTGTTTGGGCAGACCTTTCGCAATGCAAGTCGTGCATTGAGAATGATGCCTGTGTG